GATAGGGCAAACACAGGTATCAGTATCTTTAGGCATAAAATGGAATAGCCATTTTCCTTTTTAAACAAGTGTTTATGCCCTTAGCATTCTATAGTAATGAAATCAGGATTCATTTACTTGCTCCTGCTGCCTCTTAGTTTTTCTCTAAATAGCTGATCACAGTGCTAATGTGCAACATGTAGGGAGGCTGCTAATGAAAGTATGAGTGCTTTATAAGTGCCACAGTGTGTTATTCTTTGGTTATTAATTCTATTTCTGTTATATCTATTATTCTTTTATAGTTACAATCCAACCCAGATGTGAGGTGGTTGTATCAGTGGTTACAGATACACAGTTTGAAGATTATATGGTTCTTAATGAAAAAGGGAGCTGCAAATTATTACAAGTACTCAGTGGGAGACACTTCAGTTTCTATAGTAAAAGGAAGTGAAAAAAAAAGTTTATTGGAAACTCTGGCATTATTTGAGGAAGCACTCAACACAGTGTTTTCTGAGACAAATAATACTGAAGGCTCTATATTTCATAAATTTTCTCATTCACACAGCCTTTGATAATATTAGTTTTTTATATGTCTTTTTCCTCAGTCTTTGTCAGAAGAAATATGTACAAAATAGTTTTCTTTTGATTACATTTTGTTTTTATTGGCACTTCAGGAACAGTATTAGTGATTGATTATATTTTTACTTTCCATAATCAATTTCAGTGTTATATCTTAATAACAGGGAATATTGATATTTGCATATATCAGAGTCACCTTCACAAATCAGTTGTGGGGATAATTCAAAAGCAAATGTGAGAACACACATTCTTAATCACACAGGCCAACTAGCTGCACTATGGATTATTTATGTAAAGCTTGAGTTCACAGTCTTATTAATGTTGGTAAATATCCTATATTGACATAATCACTATTTTTGGTTTAGATTTGCTTAATCTGTGAATAATAGAACAGGGGGTCTTTTACTTATTTAAAGCCAAAGAATTTAGACTTTTGTTTTATGTTCAACTTAGGCAAGTTGAAAATGATAAAGCTACAAACTTAGGGATATTAATTTACCTAAGAGTATTCCTACTATCTAAGACATAGTTACAGCTATTCTTCAGTCATCAGTGCACTTTACTTCAAGTATTGTATTTTCCAAATAGAAACAAAAACACATTCCAAACTAAATTATTATATGATAACATGTAATTCATTTTTTTCCTCTCTTCAAAATATTTTCATAATACCATATGTCTACAAGAGGGCACACTTGTCTGAAGCATTGTTTCTCCTTGCTGGTGCCTTGGCTAGAAGAACTAGGCCTTTTAGACATTCTAGGCTTGATATACACACTCACATGTATATCTCCAAAAATCATTAAGAAATTATACTAGAAGGTAGCTCTGAATGAGAATTTCAAGTGTTAAGTCTCAAAGAACAAAAATACACAGCAAGCATGGAATGGCAATAGGTTTAATGATATTGCTAAAATTAAAAAAATAATTCCTGAGATCTTGATTTCATTCCTCAAGACTCTTACAGCCAACTGGAGCACTAACAGGTGGCCTTGGCCAGAGAAGACTGTATGGGGAGACCCAGAACTGCAAGCTGGAATTTAGCTGAGGCTAATCACTAGGAGACCATAATCAAGAGGTTTGGTGAGCAGGCAGGAATCAATATTGAGCAAATAACTGGCTATATCTCTCAAAGTCATAAGTGGGGTAAGGCCACAAACCTGCTCGCTGGTAGTGGAGGCATGCTGTAGTGGAGAAAAGTGGAGAAAAGATCAGGCATGCTGAGATGTAGTCTTCCAGAGGAACCAAAACCAGATGGGTAGATAAGCCCAGCTAAGGCCTAGCCACTAAGCAAAGGACATGGGTAAATGTTTAATCTTGTAGGAGGGAGGGCTGTCTGAGATAATACCAGGAACTAGAGCTAATGTACCTTGTTGCTCCAATAGGAACTTAAAAAGGCAACAAAATTAGGTAGGTTCAAAGACTTGTTCACAGTTGCAGAGTTAGTAGAGCAAGGTTCTCCTAAAATGCAGCAGTATTTAGCTTGACAATTAGAGTAAAAAAATTTAGACAAAAATCAGAAAACAAAATCTCATACCTGGAGTATTCCCTTTTCATAGGTCAGTTTACTTTTACTTTCAGTAATTTTTCCCAAGACCTTTTTTACCTTTTTTTGGGCAAGCTGATAGGGCAAACACAGGTATCAGTATCTTTAGGCATAAAATGGAATAGCCATTTTCCTTTTTAAACAAGTGTTTATGCCCTTAGCATTCTATAGTAATGAAATCAGGATTCATTTACTTGCTCCTGCTGCCTCTTAGTTTTTCTCTAAATAGCTGATCACAGTGCTAATGTGCAACATGTAGGGAGGCTGCTAATGAAAGTATGAGTGCTTTATAAGTGCCACAGTGTGTTATTCTTTGGTTATTAATTCTATTTCTGTTATATCTATTATTCTTTTATAGTTACAATCCAACCCAGATGTGAGGTGGTTACAGATACGCAGTTTGAAGATGATATGGTTCTTAATGAAAAAGGGAGCTGCAAATTATTACAAGTACTCAGTGGGAGACACTTCAGTTTCTATAGTAAAAGGAAGTGAAAAAAAAAGTTTATTGGAAACTCTGGCATTATTTGAGGAAGCACTCAACACAGTGTTTTCTGAGACAAATAATACTGAAGGCTCTATATTTCATAAATTTTCTCATTCACACAGCCTTTGATAATATTAGTTTTTTATATGTCTTTTTCCTCAGTCTTTGTCAGAAGAAATATGTACAAAATAGTTTTCTTTTGATTACATTTTGTTTTTATTGGCACTTCAGGAACAGTATTAGTGATTGATTATATTTTTACTTTCCATAATCAATTTCAGTGTTATATCTTAATAACAGGGAATATTGATATTTGCATATATCAGAGTCACCTTCACAAATCAGTTGTGGGGATAATTCAAAAGCAAATGTGAGAACACACATTCTTAATCACACAGGCCAACTAGCTGCACTATGGATTATTTATGTAAAGCTTGAGTTCACAGTCTTATTAATGTTGGTAAATATCCTATATTGACATAATCACTATTTTTGGTTTAGATTTGCTTAATCTGTGAATAATAGAACAGGGGGTCTTTTACTTATTTAAAGCCAAAGAATTTAGACTTTTGTTTTATGTTCAACTTAGGCAAGTTGAAAATGATAAAGCTACAAACTTAGGGATATTAATTTACCTAAGAGTATTCCTACTATCTAAGACATAGTTACAGCTATTCTTCAGTCATCAGTGCACTTTACTTCAAGTATTGTATTTTCCAAATAGAAACAAAAACACATTCCAAACTAAATTATTATATGATAACATGTAATTCATTTTTTTCCTCTCTTCAAAATATTTTCATAATACCATATGTCTACAAGAGGGCACACTTGTCTGAAGCATTGTTTCTCCTTGCTGGTGCCTTGGCTAGAAGAACTAGGCCTTTTAGACATTCTAGGCTTGATATACACACTCACATGTATATCTCCAAAAATCATTAAGAAATTATACTAGAAGGTAGCTCTGAATGAGAATTTCAAGTGTTAAGTCTCAAAGAACAAAAATACACAGCAAGCATGGAATGGCAATAGGTTTAATGATATTGCTAAAATTAAAAAAATAATTCCTGAGATCTTGATTTCATTCCTCAAGACTCTTACAGCCAACTGGAGCACTAACAGGTGGCCTTGGCCAGAGAAGACTGTATGGGGAGACCCAGAACTGCAAGCTGGAATTTAGCTGAGGCTAATCACTAGGAGACCATAATCAAGAGGTTTGGTGAGCAGGCAGGAATCAATATTGAGCAAATAACTGGCTATATCTCTCAAAGTCATAAGTGGGGTAAGGCCACAAACCTGCTCGCTGGTAGTGGAGGCATGCTGTAGTGGAGAAAAGTGGAGAAAAGATCAGGCATGCTGAGATGTAGTCTTCCAGAGGAACCAAAACCAGATGGGTAGATAAGCCCAGCTAAGGCCTAGCCACTAAGCAAAGGACATGGGTAAATGTTTAATCTTGTAGGAGGGAGGGCTGTCTGAGATAATACCAGGAACTAGAGCTAATGTACCTTGTTGCTCCAATAGGAACTTAAAGGCTTTTCTTCTGGGATAGTCAGATACTGAGAGTTCAATAACTATCTTAGCTACCTGCAACGTGCTTCACATTTCTTGGTTTACTTAATCCTCAAACAACCTCCTAAGAATAGTTTTACTATCCCCACTTTGACAGATAAAGAAACTGAGGCTCAGAGAGGTTAAGGATCATACCCAACATCACAGCCAAAACTGAAACCTAGGCAGGTGGTTCTCAAGCTATGAAAATGTAAGAGCGTTTAAGATCTACCCTCTGTAATTTTTCATAGTTGAAGTAATGAGCAGCTTATAATAAAGTTTGAAAGTATTTAGCTCAGATTAAGGCAGATTCACATTAGGGACTTCTATGGAATTTTCAAAGGTGATTTGAATATTATAGAAGCAATAATTCTTTTTCAAGCATTCAAAAGCATACAGGAAACTTATTAGCTGCTTAACAGAACAATCATCTCTTTAAATCCCCTTCATTTTTTGGAGGTGTTTTAAGAACTCTACCATTTGCAATGTGTTGACCTTGTCAAATAGCTTTTAAAAATCAGACTTATTACTGATTGCCTAATAGAGGGACCTGTCAGACAAGATGGGGAAAATACAAGTTTGTTTCTCATTGTTAATGGAAGAGGAAATATTTTAAAACATTAGAAATATTTGTGCACTGTGTTCAGCAGTGCAGAGCATCTGTGTAGGTGGTGTTTAATAGCTGCTTTAAATTCTTGTTTTCTTAATCCTTTATTGTTTGAATACTCTAGGACTGTGTGCCACATTTAGCCTGAATTATTTGACTTAATTATAACTATTAAGACTCAAACAAAGGAAGAAAACTCATCTTCTGATGTCTTTTTTGTTAAACTCAGTCATTAATTCTTAATTTAGACTGACCTTTTTATACCCACCCCATGGTAATCAGAAGTGACTTGCTGAAGTTCTAGGGAAGCTATTTAATCTGCCAGGTGCTTATTCTTTTCCTCTAGACTCTGAAGGTTGTGGATTAATGCGTTTATGTCTGCCTTTGAAAAACAAAAGGAGAAAAGGTATCTACTTATGCCAGATCCAAAAACATTATCTTATTTTTAAAATGACACTTTTTTACCAGTAAAGGCAGCATCACAGTAACACAGGTACATACACAAATATGCATTTTTTGTTTGTTACTCTCTGGTTACCTATAAACCAAAAGTATATAGTAAAAGAAACAATAAGGGCATTAAAATAGTGCACTGGGAATATTTACTTACCATAAAAGAAGGCAGTAATGGGGCAACAAAAAACACATATAAATATTACATGCTTATAAAAAAACAAATAGTAATGTGGCAGATGTAAATACTATTTATTTCTGTATTTAATAATACAGAATTTTTAAGAATAATCCTGTAATTATGTTAAATACAGATGGATTAAACACTCCAACTGAAAAGCAAAGATAGGCAGAATGAATTTTTTAAAACTTTCAAATGTATACTGTTTATAAGAGACACACTTTACACTGAAAGACACAAATGGGCTACAAGTATAGAAAAAGACATATCATGTAAACGGTAACCTGAAAAGAGCTGGAGTGGCTACATCAATATTAGACAAAACAGACATTAAAACATAAATCTGTGAGTTAAAGAAGAATATTATTTATTGAAACAAGGATCAATCAAGACATTTATAAATATATATGCATTTAACAACACAGTGCCACAATACATAGGGCAAAAACTAACACAATTGAAGGGAGAAATAAATGATTCAACTATAATAGTTGGAGACTTCAGTATCTCACTTTCAATAATGGATAGAACAACTCAGAAGATCAATGAGGAAACAGATGACTTGAACAACACTATAAAAGTAGATCTAACAGACATCAATAAAACACTCCTCCCAACAACAGAATACACATTTGCACATGAAACAAATTTCCAGGATATACCATATGTTAGGCCCTAAAATAAGTCTGAATAAATTTGGAAGGACTGAAATTATATGAAGTATGTTCTTCAACTGCAACGAAACAAAATTAGAAAACAATAAAAGAAGGAAATTTGAGGAATTCACATATATGGAGAAATTAACTCATTTCTAAATAAACAATGAGTCACAGGAAATTACAAGGGAAATTAGAGACTACTTTGAGACGAATGAAAGTGGAAACATGACAAAATGAATGGTATGCAGGTAAAGGGGTACTTAGAAATTTATAGCTGTAGATACTTATATTAAAAAAGAAGAAATCAATAACCTAAGCTTCTGTCTTAAGAAATTAGAAAATAAAAGAGCAAATTATACCTAAAGCAACAGAAGGAAGAAAATAATGATTAGAGCAAACATAAAATAGATAACAGAGAAACATTAGAGAAAATTAGTAAAACCAAAATTTGGTTCTTTGAAAAGATCAACAAAATTAGCAAACCTTTTTTTGTATTAGCCAAGAAAAAAATAGAGAAGACACAAATTATTAAAATTGGGAATGAAAAAACGGTATTATATAGAACTTACAGAAAGGAAAAAGAGGGGATATTATGCATAATTGTATGCCAATAAATTAGGTAGCCTAGATGAAATGGACAGATTCCTAGGAAGACTCAAACTACTGGAACTGACTAAAAAGACAAAGTAGAAAAATATGATAACCTATAACAAGTAAAGATATTGAATAATATTTAATAACAAAAAACTCCCCACAAACACCTAGAACCAGATGGCTTCTGGTGTATTCTACAAAATATTTAAAGAAGAATTAACACCAATCCCTCAAAAGCTCCTCCCAAAAATAGAAGGGGAGGTGTGGGATTAATATATAAATCAAGTATAGAAATCAAATGTATAATCATATATGACTTGATTATTTTTCCTCTAATTCCTGATAAGTGATCAGGAACAGAACAAACAAGACCAAAACAGTTTCTGTGACCTAACTGAACTTGCTATTGTTTCAATACCTTGTAAAAGACGTCGCACCCCAGGAGACTGAAGACTGCCGAGGATTAAGTTTAAAGTTAGTTAATGGTTGTCTATTAAGTCCCCCACACAGAATTCTATTGTTGTTAACATGTATTTGCTCAATAAATACGAAGGGTGCCCTCTCCGCACCACTCTTGCGCTGTTACGCTTTGAGTCCCCTGGCTGGTCCTTTCAGGTCTTCGATATCTAATCGCATCTACCCCCTTATCTGCGGCTCAGAGGCAGGGAGGGACCGATAGGGAGGAAACACCAAACCATTTTAGGAGGCCAATATTACCTTGGTACCAAAACCAAAGATGTCACAATAAAACTATAGAACAATACCTTTTATTAATATATATTCAAAAACCCTCAACAAAATATTAGTAAACCAAATCAAACAAGATATATAAATGATTATACACCATAACCAAGTAAAATTTATCCCCAAAATGAAAGCTTGGCTCAACATTTGAAATCAACCAATGTAATACACCATGGTATAAAGGATAAAATCCACAAGATTATCTCAATAGACATAGAAAAATAATTGACAAAATTCAACACACTTTCATGATCAACATTCCCAACAAATTAGGAATAGAAGGGAATTTTCTCATCCTGATAAAGGGCATTTAGAAAAAGCCCACAGGTAACATTGTACTTAATGGTGACAAATAGAAAGTTTCCTCCCTAAGACCAGGAACAAGACAAGGATGTCTGTTCTCACCACTTCTATACAACATTGTACTGGAGGTTCTAGACAACGCACTTACATAAGAAAAAGAAAAGGCAGTCAAATTTGAAAGAAAAAAACCTATATTTGCAGTTGACAGATTCTTACATACAGAAAATACATAAGAAATTGTATTAAGATTGCAGTACTCCCCTAACTGATCTACAGATTTAGCACAAACCCTGTCAAAATTCCAGCTGTTCTTTTTTTCCAGAAATGGAAAAGCTGACCCTAAATTTTATAAAGAAATGCATAGATAAATCTAGAAGAGTTGAAACAATCTTGAAAAAAACCTGGTTGGAGGCCTCATACATCTTGATTTCAAAATGTACTACAAAGCTACAGTAATCAAGATTGTATGGTATTGGCATAAGGTAGACATATAGACCAATGGAATAGAATTGAAAATAAAATTCAATAGAATCTTAATTCAAAAATTCAAAGTTCACATATATGATGATATGAATGGTATTTAGTTGATCCAGAAGTCAAGAAACAGTCAAGGCTTGATGACTCTATTGAAATCTGTTTTTATTAGATTTATTGTCTGTTTTTACTGGATTTATTGTCTGAGATGGGCTAATTTTCTTTGATGCTTCAGATACATTCTTTACATATACTGTCTAGATGATAGTGATATATAATCTTTACTTTCTTCAAATTTTGAAATGCAAACAGCAATGTTTTAAAGATACTTTTTTTGTTTTATTTTAATTAGAATTGTACTTGTTTCTCTGGCCATTGTTTTCAGAACTCAGAAAAGGATACTTTGAAGATAAAGTGGCAGGTGCTAATAGATATGTAGGAAGCCTAAGTTAGTTTTTTTTAAAAAAACAGCATTGTCAGCAATCATCCCTTTGCCTCCCACAGGCCCATTAGATCACTCTCAGGGGACTTCCTGGCTAAACTACTCGGTGAACACTAGGGCCAGAGGCAGAGAGGACTCACTGACAAAAATCAGATGCTGAACAAGCAAATGTCCTCAGAAGCAGCAATGTGCTGCAGTGACTGAAGTGGACTGAGATGCACTCAGGTTTGTGGCTTCTTTATCCCCTAACATCTTGGTACTCAACAAAATGACCCATCTCTTCATTAAGGTAAGCTATATAGGAGACAGTGATAGGGAAGGGAATAAAATATGGCAAAATATCAACAAAATGTATAGTACCTTGTTTTTAGCTAATTCCTTTTCCAAACTGCATTTTTCTTGTGCTATTTCTTTCTCTGTTTTATTAACTTGCCAAAAAAAGGAGGAAGAAAGAAATGGGTCAATTATAAAGCAGTGGACAGGCTCTACTATAGCAGACATACCCTGCATGCCAATTAATACCTACACTGCAGAGATACCACATCTATCTTCTCAGGAAAGGGGTCCCTCAGGGAGTCTCTGAGGCAGGGCAGACTTCACAAACAGCCCTAAAATTAGAAAGACATGTCTGTATATCAGAGTCTGCTGGTATCTTCCTAACTAGGAAGACAGGGCTGTTCCCCCTAAACCTCCATTTTCCCACTCTTTCAGGGGACATCAATTTTTAAAATCTAACCCCCTAACTAACATGAGAATGTGTGAATTGTTAGTTAATGTTCACAATGCTGTATAAAGGTACACTATTTGGCATGGACTACTTCACATGCTAAAAGACATAGATTAGCCATCTAAAATTTTTTTAATGGCAACTCAGACAAACTGTATCTGGGTTATATTTCTCTTCTTGCCTTTTGCATTTAAAATACAATGTTAAAACAAGATCACCACCACAACCAGGAGATAATACAAATCTGCTTTTACCTACCTCTCCTTGAAGTCTTTCTTTCTCCTCTAGCAGAGATTTCTTCTCTTGCACTGATGCTTCTAGTTCACCTCGCAATCTTGCAATAGTTGATTCAAGTAGCTCCTTTTGCACAGCTATTCTCTTCTCAGCATCCTGTGCTTTCCCGATACACTCGTTACGTTCAAGGACTAAATGGTCCCTGTAAGAAGGGAACAGGAGATATGAAGGCTAAATGAGAGTTCTTCTGTAACAGAAAGACTAAATGTTCTTAAAGAACATATCTGCCTGAGAGCAGTCACCAAAGTGTTCTAAACAAAAATAGTTCCTTAAGGGCAGAGTCATTATTTTATCTTTTGGCTGACTCAGCAAAAGCAGAAATAAATATTTTCATCAAAGAAAGGCAAATGCAAGAACAAAAGATACAAACGACACTGCCCACAATTTACTCACAGATGTGCTTGGAGTTGGGTTTTCTCATTCTGAACAGTCTATAGCTCACTTGTGATACTGGCATGGGCTGCATCCAACAGTAAGTTTTGTTCTTGAAATGTCTGCGTCATCATTTTCTGCTCTGAGTGTTAGGAGTAATATTAAAAGCTGAGATGCTAGAAGGTCATTTGATAGGGTATCGTTCAAAATAACTGGTCAAAGATACTAAATTCAATTACAAAAGACAAAATTTACTTACATAAGTAAAATCTCTTCTTAAAAGAACTCATTTTAATGACCATTTTTCTTTTTGTCTCCATCCTGACCTGACCATATTTATCATTTTATAGCTCTACTAGCCAACAGCCAAGATACGTTATTTACCCAGCATGCTGCAAACTTTATAAAAGTCTTAACAGGAACATAGTTTTAGATACACAATTATTTTAAGAATATTTTTGGTACTTTTTAAAGTAAAACAATATCAAAGTATGTAAAATGAAAGGATTCCTCTACCTCTATCTAAACTCTCCTCTTTCAAATAATCCCACTCTCTAGGGAGAATCATGTGAATTGGTGTGAATTCTTTGAGAATATATGAAATTGTATTCAGGTATTGTTACAGCAAGAGTGCTATAATTGTTTTGCACATTTTCTTTGGCTCACCATTTTGGAATTACCAATACATAACATTTTTATACACATTCCCTCCACTAATAATGGATAAAGCTTTTGCAAATATAGTACATATTAACAATTGCTTTGTAAACACATTTTAAAACATTTTGAATAATATTTGATTGCAAAGCAAGCCTTCACACCTTCATAAAATGGTTATCACACTTGTGTAATATTCCAAAGTTTTAGAATGTTTGTAACAGTGTTACTTACATATGTCACTTCATTCAATCTACTAAACTGTAAACTCCATGAAAATAGGGATTTTGTCTTAATCACCCCTATAATCTTATCTAGGCCTAGGATCATACCTGCACGGAGTAAATATTAAATGTTTATTGAATTAATGAAAAATATTGACTATTATGTGCAAAATATGCTTAGCCTTATAGGATATAACAAAGATATATAAAACAATGTTCTTCCTTCTAGGAAGCTCACACATTATACAGGAAGTAAGCCTGGCACATAAATTTACCATAGAATGCAGAATAGAGAGACAGCACAACATAGTGATTAAAAACATTTACTCTGGGGGCAGACCTAGGTTTAAATCCAGCTCTACCTCCTTACTAGTTAAGTGACTTCAGACAAGTTGACTAACTTCTCTAAACCTCATTTCCTTACCTGTAAAGTAAGGATAAGAAATATCCCTTCACATAATAGCTGCTAAAATTAAAGGATGTAATATATGTAAATTCCTCAGCACAATGCTTGGGTATATAGTAAGTATGCTCCAAAAAAATTGAGAGCTATTTTTCTTATAGTCTGTTAGTGTCCTAGGAGTAGAAGTTGAAAGAGAAAACTGATTCCTTCTGGTTGGTGTGATCAAGATTCCTGATGAAAGTGAGTCTTAAGGAATGAATAGAATTTCAAATAGTTGAAGATGAGGTAAAGATGATTGTCAGCACAGGGAATGGCATAAGCAAAATGGGAAAGTACAGGTGTTTGGGGAAAAGGTAAGTACTTTAAGATCAGTCATGGTGTTCTCTATGACTCTACAAATAATGGAACATGTAATTACTTTTCCTAAAGTAATGATATTTGAGAATAAACCATTAAGAAAGCACTAAGAAGAAATTCAGATGGCCAACAGGCACATGAAAAGATGCTCCACATCCCTAATCATCAGAGAAATGCAAATTAAAACCACAATGAGATATCACCTCACACCAGTTAGGATGGCCAACATACAAAAGACAAACAACAACAAATGTTGGCAAGGTTGTGGAGAAAGGGGACACTGCTGGTGGGAATGTAAACTAGTTCAACCATTGTGGAAAGCAGTATGGAGATTCCTGAGAAAACTAAAAATAGAAATACCATTTGACCCAGGTATTCTACTCCTAGGAATTTACCCTAAGAATGCAGGAGCCCAGTTTGAAAAAGACATAAGCACCCCTGTGTTTATCATCACACTATTTACAATAGCCAAGACATGGAAACAACCTAAGTGTCCATCAGTAGATGAATGGATAAAGAAGATGTGGTACATATACACAATGGAATATTATTCAGCCATAAGAAGAAAACAAATCCTGCCATTTGCAACAACATGGATGGAGCTAGAGGGTATTATGCTCAGTGAAATAAGCCAGGCAGAGAAAGACAAGTATCGAATGATTTCACTCATCTGTGGAGTATAAGAACAAAGAAAAAACTGAAGGAACAAAACAGCAGCAGACTCACAGAACCCAAGAATGGACTAACAGTTACCAAAGGGAAAGGGATTGGGGAGGATGGGTGGGAAGGGAGGTATAAGGGGGTAAAGGGGGCATTACAATTAGCATACATAATGTAGGAGTGGGGGCACAGGGAAGGCAGTATATACAGAGAAGACAAGTAGTGACTCTATAGCATCTTACTATGCTGATGGACAGTGACTGTAATGGGGTATGTGGTGGGGACTTGATAATAGGGGGAGTCTAGTAACCATAATGTTGTTCATGTAATTGTACATTAATAATAGCAAAACAAATAAATAAAAAAGAAAGCACTGAGTATAAGGTTAAATGAACCCTTTGATGAAAACTACTGATCAAAAAATGAAATAATTCAGTAAATTTTTTGGAATTGGTAAAATATTTTATTTATCCAGTTGGTGATGCACATTTCTTTATCTCTTAGTCAAAGTGGTTTTCTGCTGACTTTATTAGAAATTGACTAGTGTTAAAGGAATACCTGAAGAATAGCTTGATGGTCAGCAATGATTCTGGCATTTTCCATACTAACAGTCTGAAGCATGTTGTTCAGCTCTGAAAACTTTCTAGTCAGTTGGTCATTCAAAACCTAAGATAACATAAAAAGCAAGCCATAGATCTCACCACTAATTAACTATTTTTTACTTAAGTACAGGCATACCGTTTTATTGCACTTCACATTATTGTGCTTCACAGACACTGTACCTTTTACAAATTGAACGATTATGGCAACCCTGCATTCAGCAAGTCTTGGCACCATTTTTCCAACAGCTTTTGCTCACTTTGTGTTTCTTTGTCATATTTTGGTAATTTTCTCAATATTTCAAATGTTTTCATTATTATAGTGATCTGTAATCAGTGATTATGACTTGCTGAAAGCTTAGCAAATGATTACAGCAATAAGTGTCTTTCATTTAAGATATGTACCTTTTTTAGACATACTGTTGATGCATACTTACAGACATCAGTGTAGTATATATACACACACACAACTTTTATGAGCCCTGGAAAACTGCAAAGCTCATTTGACTTGCTTTATTGCCATAGTCACTTTATTGCAGTGGTCTGTAATCAAGCCTGCCATATCTCCAACATACACTTATAACATTATTTTTAATGATTGCATGGAATTTCACTATATATGTGAACCTAATTTTTTAACCTATCCCCAACAAGTATTTCATTAGATATTTTGAGACAATTCCCTAAATTCCTCTAAATTAAAGGAGGAATTTGTGATTTGGTGGAGCAACTTAAGAATTCAGCAGTTTACAATCTTCTATTGTTCACAATTTTGAACACTGAATACAGTAAGACACCTGCAGAATGGAATTTACAATGTATATGCCCAGCCAATATTATAGAAATCCATTCCCAAAGTTGGATGAGCATTCAGATAACAAAATATCTATGCTCCTTCGCTGATGTCAGTATCCAATAAAGCAAAATATATATGATTGTACCATTTCAACATGATTAATCTTCCAAAATAAAAATATTTTGTGCAATAGATAAGACAATTTTCTTGTTTCATTTGATATTTTGAATTATATTCATGTAGAAAATATTTATCTATCATTTATTTCTGAGAAATATATTTGGCACAGATCTTATAATGAACAACTTCAAGGATGGGGGACAAATAACTTTGAAGGATCAATAGGAAAAACTAAAAAAATGGTAACAAAAAAGGAAAGATAAGTGAAGATTATCTGGAAAGCATAAGTGGTATGTATAGTACAGTAGTTAGGAACACATTCAGGGGCATTTTAAAGTTTCAACCAGATGTACAAACTATTCATCAAGGAATACAGGGTGAGACAGAGAACACTTGCTCTTTAAAAAGAAATAGCTAGTGTTGGTCAAAGATGGCGGCGTGAGAGGAGAGACAGAGCTTCCTCCTAAAATTGGATACAATTAGAAAATTTAATTGGTGCAACTAATCCTGAGAGAGCAACAGGAAAGAGGATGCATCAGACTGCACACACCTGGAGAAAAGAGCAGACCTCAGCGAACAGGGTAACGTACCAGAGCTGTGGCTCTGCGGGACCTGAGTCCCTCCCCCACCCCAGCTCACTGGCGGGAGGAAGAGAAACGGAGCAGGGAGGGAGTGGAAGGCTTGGGACTGCTGAATACCTAGCTCCAGAGATCTGTGCTGGGAGCACAAACCTACATTTCATGGTGCTTTCATGAGACTCGCATGACTACCACGTTGGAAAGTTAATACAGGCAGAGTTCCTGGGGAGA